TTAGCAATATGTTGCATAATACACTATTAAATTTTATAGTTACGTTAATTTCGCCAAGGCCTAATTTGTGGAATTCGCCTGGGCCCCGACAATCATAGAATCGGCCATATTCGACCGAACAACTATAATTCCTAGAAGAGAAGTTTTAGTGTAAAAAGGAAATAAAGAAAAGGAAAGCAGAAAGAAAGAAAAAGTGGAGAAGAGAAGAACAATGAAAAGGGAAAGAAAAATGGAAAAGAAAAGGAAAATATGCATTTTTTATAGTGTACTAGTACGAATGCTATAAAAAATCTCGCCTTTTTTATCTTACATTTTTACTGCGTGCAATAAGCATGTCATAATTTTTTTTTATGATACTCATTGAATACCTGTTTGGATCTCATTTTTCATTAAGAATGCATTTTGGAATAGTAGACTGTAGAGAATCTGTGGTTAAAAAATAATAAAAAGTTTTTGAATTTGTATGTAATATTATATTATTGAAGACTATGTGGTTGAAAAGAAAATAGAGAAAAAATACATTTTGGAAAAAATGAGGATCAAACAAAAGTTTAATGTATGCCATAATTAGCATATTTTTTCAAAAAAAAAAAAAATTACAAATATTTTTCTATATACTTCTATGGCATGCTTGAGATTTACGTCATAAATAGTCAACTTTTCCGGTGTGCCCAAAATGCATATCGTAAATACTTTAAATAATAATATTATTACGGTAAACATTCAAGGCATGTCGTAAATAGTCTATTTTTACGGCATGCCTTATATGCACACAGTAAACATATGCCCTTTTATTTGTTGCAGTGAAAAGATCTTTGTTTCGGCTCTTTCTTCTACCATGAATTTTCACTTTTTCATGATCAATTAATTTTTGAAGTGTTGCATAATTTTAAGTTCAAACATTGGGCGTAGTAATTCGTATATTATTAGCAAAGTTTAGGGTGCGGTTGATTTCCATTTCCATTTTCTATTTTTATTTCCAAAACGATTTTTAGTTTTCCCCAAAAACAACTCGTTTTTCGCATTTTGAGCGTTTTCGACATTTATAACTAAAAACGGTAAAAATGGTAAAAAGTCATTTTGCGTTTTCAGTTATAAATTTTAACTCGTTTTCGAAACTGCGTTTTCAAAAACGACAGAGCAAGCATGTTTTCCGCGTTTTTGAAAACTGAAAAAGGAAAATGGGCTAAAAACAGCAAACCAACTACGGCCTTCGTTTTTAATTTTTCATAAATGGAAGGGATAATTGCAGCAGAAGCTCCAAACCTTTTAAACAGTAGCAGACTTTCCCCTAACCTTTCATTTGTTGCAGTCGTCACCCCAAACCTTTCCAAACGTTGCATCTGAAGCCCTTTTGAATGGTTTCCGTCTAAAATGTTGTTAGTTGACTATAAAAATAAACTTTGACCACATTTTAATCAATTTTAAAAGGGTAAAATGGTAACTTTCTATTTACTACATTAAACAATTAAAAAACATTAAAAAAATAAAAAAAGAAAATTGCTGCAACCTGACACCTCCCAACTTCTTCTTCCTCATTACAGCCCAAAACCCCCTCCCCACTTTACGCCATCCTCTCCCACCAAATACCACCAAACCCATGACAAATTGTTGCAAAATCTTCTGCTACTAGTACCTTAATATTCACAAGATTCAAAACCCATTTAACAAAAAAAAAATTAAAATTAACATTTGGTGTTTAATTTCCCGCAGCCATTGAAACTTCCAGCTTCAATTTTAGATATGGTTGTTGCTTGTCTAGCTACTCTAGATCCGTCATTTTGTGGGGTTCTATGGACACTGTAAACTAACGGGTTAATGAATGGTTTTCTCTACGAATGTGAAAAGTGTGAAACTCCATTATTGGCAAATGGCGATCGCTAATTCGAACATAGCAAATCATTGGCCTAGAATATTCTTTTCTTATCTTTATACAGGGGCAAACATGATGAATATACCCTTAACTACAAATTTTGGCTCAGTGAAGAAGAAGCTAAAATTGAATACCAAAATATCAGTTTCGATGAATACAAAAATTGGAGGCAAGGGTTAAATTGGTGATTGTGGTGTGGGATAGGTGGATGAGACGATGGATTTTAGGATGTTACGATGGCTCGTTGGAGGTGGCAATGGTAGTGGCATGGATTCAATCTGGTATTCTTGTTTACAGTATATGTTAATTTGTTTATGTGTAAATTTGTTTACAATAAACAAAAAGTTCATTTTTGTTTACTGTTTTTATATATTTAGAATTAGAAAAAACGAATTCTTTAATGCAATATATTGTTTGATGATTAATTAATAGGTGAAATGAAACTCACTCAAAGTGTACTATTTTCTGCAAATATCGGTTTGTCTCGCCAATTTCAAAAGCCTCAAGCAGTTCGAGCTTTTTCTGCCACCCCATTTTCAGGTAATTATTTCTTCCATTAATGCTTTGGCTTTATTGATTGATTGATTTATTTATTATTATTATTATTTTATTGGTGCTTGAGTTATTTTGTGAATTTGAAGTTGATTTAATGGTTTTCTCCATTGCCAATAAATTTGTATTTATTTACTCAATTAAATTCACATAAACCATTTTTTGAATTTGGTGAAACAGAAAGTGGATGCCTTGTCTTTGTAATGATATTTAATAGTTGCAAAGTACTTAAGAAGTTGAGGCCATCTTGATTGAAACCAATTCAATATTTACGAATGGATGCGTCCATTACTTTTTGATAAGAAAACTGAAAATTTAGTTTTTCTTTTATGTTAATAAGAAAATATTGTCTGTTTGAATTTATTTGCAGACATTGCACAGGATTTTGCAGCTATTAAATTGAATTGTGAAATTCTTATTATTGGCATTATGATTGAATATGACAGGTTCTTGAATGCTGGAATTTTTGAGAATGGAACAGAGTCTTGTTCTGGGTGATCTTGTTTCGTTGTCCTACATTGTTGGTATGTTGATAGGGTGGCCTAATTCTAAGGCTGTTGGACCCACAGGAGAAACTCTAAATGTCAAGGAAGCCTTTAATCTTGTTAGTGTAGATTTAGGTTTTTTTGGGTTGCAGCCTAAGGAAGACCTTGCACTAGTTACTTTTCTTTTGTTTGCAGCCTAAGGAAGACCTTGCACTAGTTACTTTTCTTTTGTTTGAGAGGAATGTAAGATGTTTATTTGATAGGCAATATGCTAATAAAAACTTTTCTTCAATTTATTATAATGATGTGTTTTGTCTATTTGGTATGGATTAATAAAATTATATCAATTTTATGCAAGCCAATTTTATTTTATTTTTTATTTTGTCGTTGATTTGGTAAATAGCTATACAAATAGGAAAAATAAAAAAATAAAATAATAATTTGTAAATGACCTACGACAACGTTTATTGAACGTTGCGAATAAGAGATACGGCAATATTCATTAAATTGCCGTATCTCTTATTCGCAACGTTCAAAGAACATTGTCATAAACCTTTACGGCAACGTTCATTGAACGTTGCCATATCTTAACCCTCAACAGCAACGTCAAGGTTTGCAACAGA